CTGTCCCAGTCCCCCTGTCCCCCCCCCAATGGCTGCCCTGCCCACCCCCAGCTCCGGCCCTTTAAGGAAAAAAAAAAACAACAACAACCTCAGACTCACTAGTTCCTGCCCGGCAGGGGGCGATCCCTGCTGCCCCCCACTGCCCCGCACTGTTTGGGGGGCTCTGCACAAGCCCCCAGAAGCCCTGAGGCCGCTGCAGTAGCTGGTGAGTCAAGGGATTTTGGGGGTTTTTTTTCCTTAAAAGGCCTAGAGCTGGGGTGGGCACAGCAGCCATGGGAAGCTGGGAGAGTGGGCAGGGGTCAGGGCAGAGCGTCCCCACACAGCATGGGGCAGTGGGGATCACCCCGCTGCCCGGAAACACCCAGTGAGTAGGGGCTTTTTTTTAGAACACCAGGAGCTAGAATGGGTGGGGCAGCCATGGGCGGGACTGGGGGAACAGGTGGAGGTGGGACCTAGTGGGGGTCATGGTCCCCTTCCCCCTCCAGCCCCACCTCCCTGTCCCCCTACTTACCAGCTCGGAGTCCAGGTCCAGCTCCCTGCTGCAGTGGGTGGGGACTGCCTGAATCACTGAAGCTCTCCGAATCGATTCCAAGAGCTTTGAATCGATTCGGATATTTGAGCTGGTCCCCTGATTCGATTTGGATTTGGAGATTCGGCCACCGAATCGGGCCGTATCTCCTCCAAATCAAATCAGCACCCAAAGCTTTGCACAGCCCTAATAATGAGGCAATGCAAAACCAAATTTAATGTCATTTAGAGAATGATTAGACTACAAATTATATTGATTTCAAATATCAGGTACACAGAACCTACTGAAAGAATGTTACGGTTCAGGCAAAATATCTATCATTCAAAGTAGAATAATTCTAAACAACAAACGCTTGCAGCCTGTCTAATTCTATACCAATATGCATTGACATTGCAGCATAAATTTCCCCTCTATTGACATGGCCAAGTGTTTATTTTCACTGACAAGTATTTACCATACAAGTGAGAATTACTTTTGCAGCCTTTAACTAAGGACAACAAGAAGTCCTTTTTTAAGTACGTAGGGAGTAGAAAGAAGGCCCCAGGAAATGTGGGGCCCTTGCAGGACAAGAATGGGGAATCTGGTTGTCACGCCAGATGACAAAGCCAACATATTTAATAACTTCTTTGCCTCTGTCTTCCTCAGTAAGGACCAGAACTGCCACCTCCCTGCTGGGCCCCCTTTGGGCCCCGGGGGAGGCTCACCTGGGCCTAGAGTGAGTGAGGATTTAGTTAGGGAGCTTCTGGAGGGGCTGGACGT